TTAGTAGTAGTAGTAGTAGTAGTAGTAGTAGTAGTAGTAGTAGTAGTAGTAGTAGTAGTAGTAGTAGTAGTAGTAGTAGTAGTAGTAGTAGAGGCATTGTTTGCTCGTCAGCTCTCAAATCCAAGTATAGTTTTGAGTTAGCTTTTTCTGACCAGTACTGTGACTGAGGTCTCTGCTCAGAGTTAGAAATCTAATTGTCAGAACTGTTTCTGTAACTGGTTCACATGAAATCTAATTTAGATTGTCACTGTTTGGGGGAGAGGTAGGTTTCCCCTGAGCCTACTGGACCCTTGCACCTGAGCTGCATCAAGTTGACAGCTAGTTACACCAAGGATGCGTTGGGTAAACTGAAGGAAAATAATAAAGGTGTCCCTGCCGTTCAATATCAGTCATATGAAGGAAATTTCAAAACGGAGTTAACATTATTTTTAAAAATTATCACCTTTTCCCTACAATAAAATAAAACAAGAATGAAGTAAATGTGACCACTTTCAATTGTGCGAGGTGAGGAAACACGAAAATGAGATCCCGAAGTTGAGCAACATGTTTCCATAGAAATGGGGGGTCTTAGAACAGAGATAGAGACTTGAAATGTTGCAGTTATCTTGTCTAAGACTCTGCAAGGTAACATACAGAAGCAGAAAACTATTCATTTACAGAGAAAAAACTTATGGGCAAAACAGAATTTTCACGAGAATGGATTTCTCGTCAAATGCAAAAAAAAATTATGTGAGCTTTACATTAGGTACCAGATACTTAATTTTCAAAGTAGCTGTATGTCAAATTCATCTGTTTCATATGAAAGGCCTATGTCTCCTGAGTATTTTGGTACCATACTTTTACCTCTCAGTCAATGTTTAAGAGCATGGCAGCTGTTTCAATTTAACATAATAATCAATTAATATTGCTGAAGTTGCTAACTGGCTGCAACTCCATGTTTGACCGATAATAAAAGAATACCAAATGCACCAAACATCTCTACATTAACAGAGTACAATCATTATAACCCAAAAAAATGAAGGCTAATTTTTTTTTAATGACTGTGAGTTCATTATATTTCAGTATTTTATTCCTTCAAACAATATGATCTGTCGTTATTTCAATAAAAACACAGAACGTTGTCTCGGCCGGCGCCGCATCAGTCCCCGCGGCGCGAGAGGCGACACAACACTGTAGTGTACTGAGTGCTCCTGGTAGTTTCGCGGAAGGATTCAAGCAAAATAATTCCAAGCCGATGAATTTATTCTTATAGAAAAAGAACTGTTCTTTCTATTTGTACATTTTTTGCCGGTATTTTACACATTTCGTGTTAAAAATGATCTTTAAAAACGTATACCCTTTTTTTTCAAGGTTTTCTATACTAACGCCGAAGGCCAAAAATAATAACCACGGGAAACCACGCTCAAAGCTGTATAGTTCTCCGCCACTGAAAAGAAGGTATTTAATCATCAATCTTTCTGCAATGCATTCAAAAGCAAAGCATGGGTGTCAGTTTTGAACCGGCCGACCTCGCATTCCGACCTCGAGAGGCTTCCCTTTTCACGGCAATTCTCCAGCTCCAAATACTCGGATATATACAAACAACTTACACTATTGTAAAGAAGGAAGTTTGAACTTTTCCAAAGTGCTCAGCATTTGGAGTTTTATAGCAAAAGAGCAAAGAAACGGAGATCTGAATTACCCCCATTTTACCGAAACCATGCGCTCGGAAGGCGCAAGTCGGTTTACGTGCGGTGTTTGCGCTACCTAATAGCGTTTGCAATAGCATCATAAACTCACGAGAGCACACACACACACACACACACACACACACACGAAACACACACACAAA